AGTTTCTCATGGGTATAAATACGGAGGGAAAGCTGATAAACTTTATTTATTTATTTTACTAGGAATTGAACTCAGGAGCACTTAACCATTGAGCAATATCCCCAGTCTTTTTTACTTTTTGTTTTGAGACAGAGTATCTCTAAATTGCTTAAGGCCTTGCTAAATTGCTGAAGCTGACCTTGAATTTGTGATCCTCCTGCTTCAGCCTTCTAAATTACAGGGATTATAGGTGTGAGCCACCAATCCCAGCAAGGCTGATGAACTTTAATCATAGGAATAAAAGACCTATAGAACAAACATATGAGAGACCTCTTAAAAATTATCAAATAAGTTCTCTTTAAGAAGTTAAGGGTACAAAGCTCTAGTCCATTTACATTTTAAAATATTTTTTTTAGTTGTAGCTAGACACAATACCTTTATTATTTGTTTTTATGTGGTGCTGAGGATCGAACCGAGGGCCTCGTGCTTGCTAGGTGAGCCTGCTGCCACTGAGCCACAATGCCAGCTCCCACTTACATTTTAATACAAAATTGAAACAATTGCCAAAATAGCTTTTGGTTGTTTGTTAAGTTTATTTCTTCATAGTGACCAGCAGTAAAATTCTTCCAACAAGGGACTTGTATATTTGCATTAGGGAAGAGTGGAATTTTGGGAGGACTGGAGGTCTTACTATACAGTCATTCTTTGGGCTGGGAGGTAAGAAAGAACTTCAGGAAGTAGAGTAGAATGGGCAGTTTGAAAGAAATAACACAAATCGAAAACAATTGTCATCTTTGGGAAGAAAGTAAAAGTGCACAGAGCAGAATGAGGACCTGGGGACTTACAAAGGAAGCCTGTGTTTCTAGGGCTTAGGTCCTGGAATATTGAGGCTGGGGCTCCTAGTCTTAAGCATCACAAACTGCCTCTTAGAGGTATTTTTTTTTTTGAGGTGGGTAGATTTGCATAAGTAGATTGACAAAAATTACCCTAATGGTATTTTCAAGGAGGATAAATTGTTCCATAGACATAAAGCACTTTAATCAAACCCACTAACCCCAAACAAAGAGCAAAGGTCAAATAAAGAGCTGGGGTCTTCCATAAAACAAACAACCAAGGACACTTAAGGATATAGCCCCAGTTATTTCCAATAAGGGTTAATATGCATGTAAAATACCTTACTGCATTTTCAAACAAAACATCTGGGCTTTCAAGTGCCTTCCAAGCAATTTAAGTTGTTTTATTCACATCATGAAGGCAGTTTTTCCCCTGGAGTATTTCCTGTTCAGAAAACACTTAAATACCCTGCTCTTTTGGGCTGCTTCTTGACATGGAAAGATTTTAATGCCACTCTTTACCTTCAGTTTGGGATTTTGCCTCTTCAGCCAAACTTCCGCTCCACCAGTCATGCTGGGTTGTTTTATCTCCCCTGATGTTGCTGTCCAAAGACCCTTCTTGCACAAGCTCCCACCCTTTAACTTATATTTTATCTACAAAATACATTTACGAAAGTGTGTTTTCTAATGCTTGGCATTATCATTTTGATATTCTACTGTGTTAAAGTAATCAGTAAAATGTTTCATAAGCATTCACTGTGTGTAAAGCTTAAGGCCAGGTACCAAGGGAGGAGCAAAGTAGCGTAAAAGCCTTTCCTTTCCTCGGAGCTTGTTGTCTAGATTTTTCAGCAAGGGACTATTTGACCTTTCCTTTCTATTCCTGTTATCCCCCCTGGCTAGGCCCTGTTCACATCACTATAGCTTCCTAACTTGCCCGTAAGGTTGCAATTACCCCCATCACATCAATCCCAGTTTCTCTTCTCAAAAGCCAACTGTGGTCATCCTCCCATCATATTACCTTCCCTCTATTCAAAACTATTTTTTTTCAAAGATAGCATATTGCCTGAAGAATAAAGTTTGGCAATATGTTATCTTACACAAACCCTATTGCATGGTTTGAAATATACCCCCACTCTTACATTTAAATCTAAATCTTACTCCATCTTTAAGATTCAATCCAAGTCCCATGACATTCATGCATCTTTTCTCCATTTCCCCACTGAGGGTCTGATCTTTCCTTTCAGTTTCTGTGATTATACTCTACATCATTTATTTGGTGTTTAACTTCTGCTACCATGACTGGTTTGTTTTACATGTATAAGCAGCTTCCCCATCTAGATTATAAATTTATTGAGGGCAGAACTTTAGCATAATGCATTGCACACAAATATGTTTAATACCAGTTTGACAATGAAGATGGTGTTTTTTTCCTGGCTTTTGGGTAAAGAAAGATGCTGGAGGTAGATTAGTTGAGGAGGCTATTGCAATAATAATCCAAAAGGGTGATTAATGAAGGCCTCAATTTATTGACTCCTTGGCTCAGATCATCACTTTATTACCAAAGGAGCCTTAGCAAGATTGAAAAGAATGGAAAGACTTTAAGACTGTTGTGAGTTTATGTGGGGGATGAGGGAGAAGTAGAAGTCAAAGTTTTACTGAACCTGACAAACTGTAGTACTCATAGTAACATTGACAAAAAATAAGTCAGGAGTGAAGGACAAATCGGGAGTGGAGATATTTGTCTTTAGATATAGTGTAGAGAGTTTAGGATAACTTGGATGATCAAATGGATGTGCCTAGCAAGCAGAAAAACAAAAACAAAAACAAAAACTTTTTATCATCATTGAATTCAATCTAACAGATATTTACTTAACATATCCCATGTGTCATTCATTATGCTGGAGATACACAAAGTCAAATAAAACATAGTTCCTGGCCTTCAGAATTCATGTTTAAGTGGGAAAAGCAGACTAACAAAATTGCTATAAGATAGTAAATGGTGTTACTGAATTATATATAAAGTGCTATGGAAATATAAAGAGGGGACCAATTGATTGTGTATGGGAAGCTGAGAAGAAGTTACAAAAGTGATGACTATGGATAGAACTTTGAAAGATAAGTAGAAGTTTGTTCAATAATGTGGACATGCCCTTCCAAGGAAAAGGGTAATCATAGGCAAAGTCACAGAACATGAAAGTTCATTGCATTCTAGGGGAACAGCAAGGACTCTGAAATGACTAAAGAAAAAGGGATAACAGGATAAAGATAAATGGTACAAAAAGACATAATGATTGTCAGAAATCAAAGATGTGTTGTTATATTAATCTGGAGAGGCAATATGTGTAACAGGTAAAAATATAGACTCTGGTGTTTGATTCCCTGGATCCAAATCTCACTTCTACCACTACTAGCTGTGTAGCCTTGAGCAAATCACTTAATTTCTCTGTGCTCAAGTTTCCCTACCTGTCAAAGAGGAGTGATGATACCTGTCTCATAGGATTGTTTTCAGAATTGAGAGAGCTGATATTTGTAAACTGGTAAAGCAGTGTCTATCATAGAATAAGTGTTGTGTAAAGATTAGTTCAAGAACTAAATTATAAGTAACGAGGTTGCACACCATTTTTTACTACACCAGTAGCAGCTCAAAAAGAGAAACTATAAACGGGCAGTGCCTAAGTTTCCAGATACTCTAAGCAAGGACCCAAGGAGAATTAGATAAATCTCTTATTCTTGGATGAGTGTGAGTTCCTTGAGATGTTAAGATATCTGCCTTGGGAAGGTAAATACAATTTAGGGAAAGGAAGGGTAGTCAGAGGAAAAAGAAAGTGCAATGGCCAGAGTAGGAATGTTCACTTGAAATAAGTGGAAGCTCCCATTGTGCCATTCTCCCTGGAACATAGAAATAAAGCAAAATAAGTTTGTCACTCACTGGCTAATAGATTTTATTTTGGTTAAATAATAAACAGGAAATTATCCATTAGGGGCCTTAGAGGCTGGGAGAGGAGGTAACAGGTTCCAGGCAAAGATATCTTGCTGGGGTTGAAGTATGTAGAGGAACCTTGTAAAAGAAAGATAGCAATTAGAAATGCAGCCCTGCCTTGCTAATGAAGCACAGGTAGCCCCTTGAGTTTTGATGCTCTCAAGTAACCCATATCTATTCCTCAGCCTTCTAGAGCTCTGCTCGAGTGATCCTTGAATAGACTCTTGGAATGATTGTGCTTCCCTGTGTGACTGCTCTGTGTGCTGCTGAAATGGAACTGAACCTCGTCTGCCCACCCAGCCTGCCAAAGGGTTTCACTTGACAGAACTTGGTTTGAATTCTGGTTTTACCACTTTCTAACTATGTGACTTGGAGCAGGTCACTAAAATTCTCAGAGCCCCAGCTTGCCTGTCTGAAATGCAAATAAAAATTATTCCTTTGTCATAGAGTCATATGGATAATTATATGAAATTTTTATTTCTAAAGTGCTTGGCACACTAAATGTTTGGAAAAATGTTAGTTGTTGGTCCCTTTCTTTCCTTTTACATTTAGGCAGCCTCCAAATGCGCTGCTCTCATTTTAACCACTTCTGGTGGCTCTGTACCATATAATATAAATAGTGATAGAGATGAGTAGAAAAAGAAATCAACCCATGGAAAGGCAATAAAAAATAGTATTCTTTTTCAATTCTATCTACACATTCATATATTTAATGTGAAAATGTATCTGCACATTCATATATTTAGAAGGTAGAAGGGAACAAGGAAACTGAAAACATTTTTGGTGAGGACAGCTAAAAATATATTGTTGCATTGTTATCTTAATATTATTGTGCCTGTGGAGAAGGATCCTCTTTTCCTGACATACATAAATCTCCTTACCCTCTTTACAAAAGAACATCAGGAGGACAGGGTGCTGGAGTAAAGGGAATTGCACAGTGGGAATAACATGCCCCATCTCATCTGTCCTTCTGCCCAGCTTTCCATTAACCATCATGACCTACCAGAGGCCCGGAGAGCTTCCTATCTGTGGTGCTTCAATGCCCTTGCATCATTAATATCATCATCTCTACTCTTCTTCTAGGAGTGGATCTTATCGAGGGAGGTATGGAAGAAGTTGTGCATGTTTAGCTGTCAGTCCGAATCTTTTAGAGCCAGCAGGGGACAAAGGCAACAATCACTGTGTAATACTCTGGACTTTCTTGGCAGGTGAATACTGCTATGCATGAGGCAAAACTTATGGAAGAATGTGACGAGTTGGTAGAGATCATCCAGCAGAGGAAGCAAATGATTGCTGTCAAAATCAAAGAGACAAAGGTAAAGCACAGCACTTCAGTGAAGCCAAGGAAGAGTTGACTCTATAAATGAAAGAGTTGAATCCTGATGATTGCAGTTTGAAATTAGATCATGAAAGCAAGAAGAAATGAGGTTATAGGAAGAAAGGCAAAGAAGCAATGTTTGGCCTAGTGCTATGGATCCAATAAGAAGTATAGCAGATCTGGATACTGGAAACATATTATACCTTGGCCTAGTTGTTGGTTTCATGCGTGTATATATGTGTAAACATTCACTGAGTTGTATACTTAGGATCTGAGTGCTTTACTGTTTATTGTAAGTGAACACAAAGAAAGAAAAAGAAAAAAGTAATGATAGAAATATTAGTTAGAATTATGGAAAGACCATGAATGTCACTATGAGTACTTTGGCTTTAGACTGAATGGTGTTGGGAAGCCATTCTAGAAGACTGATTGATATGGCCAGAATGTGCAGAGCAGATCTTTTGATGCTGAAGTCTGGGAAGTACATTAGGAGGCTTACAACATGATTCTTCATATGAATTGTTGAAGACCTAAAGCAGAATGTAGACAGCACACACAGAAAGAAAGAACAGAATAGGTAGTGCCAACAAGAAAATGATTGGAATCATCCAATTTATTTAAGTATAAAAGATGAAGGAGAGAGAGAAGTCCAGAAAAACTCCCAGATTTTTAAAAACTTGGGAACTGAAGAATCATGGTCAAAACATCAGCTGTGAGCCTCCATGCAGCTATATGGTTTTAGGTTTGATGGCCTGCTGGTCAGTGTTAGTGATCATAAGCTCATGCTGTGGGCACAATGTAAAAAGTTATGAGAGTCTGGTTTGATGGTCAATACTTTATGCCATGCTGGGTAGCTCCAGTTAACAGGAATGGAAGCTTCCAAGAACACAGATTTGTGTACACACAGGTATGTGTAAAGATATTTAGAGAAATATATACATAGAAATATATATACTCATAAAGAAAAATGAGGTACTTCTTATGAAATTTATGTGCAAAAGTATATTGACAATAAAATGTAAACAATGGTGATCTCTAGGTGTTAGCATTTCTTTTTTATACTTTCAACTTTTTAGCTTTTCTATAATGAGCATGGACTGCTTCTACAATCAGTAAAATTAATATTATTAATATAAAGAAGAGGTAGATAACAGAATACATGGCTGAGTGCAACATAAGTAAGGGAGCTGTAGATTGGAGGAGGAGGGGTTGGCAAGAGAGTTTTTAGTGGGTGGGGTGAGAAGGTGAATGGTTAGTAAAGGGATCATGGGGTATTAATAAGCCTTATTTTTAGAATCACTGCAGCAGATCTCCTTCAAGTTGTTTTATTGTTTTTAATTAAGTGCTGTGTCTTTATCTTATTTTTTCTTTGACTAATTCCTTTAAGGTTATGAAACTAAGAAAGTTGGCACAGCAGGTTGCTAATTGCCGCCAGTGTCTTGAACGGTCAACGGTCCTCATCAACCAAGCTGAACATATCCTCAAAGAAAATGACCAGGCACGGTTTCTACAGTCTGCAAAAAATATTGCTGAGAGGTGGGTTTCTTATATTCTTTTGAAATGTCCTGTATTGTGAAAAGGGGCAAGCTTAAAGTCAGTGAATTATATTCAGGCATGTATATAGCAGCTGTCATTTGAAGATTTTACCAGCTAGGTAATTCTTGAGCCTCAGTGGTAAATTTCCCTGTGGATTTCTGTATCATTCTCTCCATCTTTGCAGCCTGCTAGTTCTTTTAATGCGCAGCCAAACATGAGGCCTAGCTATTGCCTCCTCTCCTTGTTGCTCACTTAGAGCTTGAGCTCTCTGTGATGGTAGTGGTGTAGGGTCAGAAAAACTTTTGGTTACATTGATAGGTGTGTGCCTTTCTGAAGGGTACATGCAGTTTCTATTGTTTTTATTTAATTCTTGCTTTTATAAAACATCTAGAGCAATGATAATTCGACTTTTATTTAGTCACTTTCTTCTTTGAAAATCTGATGAAAGTCATGAACCTTATTCCAGAGTGGAGAAAATGCATTTTAATCTGTACAATTAGAAAAATGAGAAATTATACCCCAATGATCCAAATGTATGAATTGCCAAGATCATTGTATGTCATGTGTAGATATTAATAAAAATGTAAAAAAATGCATTTTAGATGTATACACAGAGAATTTTGTATATAATTTTATGATGGATTTTTAGAAGCCCATCTATAAACTATTGGCAGAGTCCATGGCCTAAAGTGAAACATTGTTGAGTATAATCTCCAAGGCTTCAAGGGGATACAGTAGATCATTAGGCCAGACTTAACCTCCTGATTTCTCCCTCTCATTCATTGGAGAATTGGGTTCCAGGCTCATAGTCTTCTTCGTATTGCCTGTGCACCATTATGGTGACTTTAGCTGCACCCACATGACTGACCCATCTAATGCTCTAGCCATTTAGCACTGCCCCCCCCAACAATTGTTCCTCCAGTGACTCTCACCTTGGCTCCACTTCATCCACCCACTCCCATGGACTACATGCTGAACCTTATCCTCACTCAGAGTTGCACTGAAATCATAAAGTGAAGCATCCCACTTTTTAATTACAACCTCCATGCTTAAAACTCTTTGCTTCAAATGCATCTCTATTTTTGAACTTCATTGGGACTTCTAATCTGGACTCCTATTCTTTTTTCCTCCCTACCAGCTACTTCCTGTCTTCACTTCTTTCTTTAACCTATTTTGGATCTGTGATTTCTTCCTTCAGCTATTCTTTTCAATCTGCCCAATTCCATTGCTCATTGTCCTTTTATCACATCCACCTGATAAAATCCTAACCCCGAATCACTCCACCTATTCTTAACATTTTCATGCCTGTATTTGAGTTGCAGAACTTTGCTGGAAAAATCACATAGCCAAACAGGTTGGTACTATTTTACCAAAAATGTGTGGCTTCTCATCTGACCTGAGCCTTAAGTACTGACTTAAAATCTTGTTGTGTTGCTTTAGTCCACTTCCTTTTTAAGTCATCTCCACACTTACTATTTTAAATCTTTTGTACTAGCTTCAAAATTGCAACCCAGCCTCCTTCCTGCTTAAGTTCAGGAAATGCCTGCCCATCCTTTTAAACTGAAAATGGTGGGTATGAAATGATAAATTCCTCATCTACTCATACCAAAGTTCCGGACACACCTACATCTACATCCATTACTTCTACCCTCTTTCTGTGTACAATGAAGAGATGTTCCTTCATTTGTCCTTTGACCACATGCCCTCTTTTTTCCCATAGCTTCAATTTCTGCCACTCTTTAGTTGACTTCACATCCACATTCAAAACCACTAATGTCTTTCCTACCTGAAAGCAAAAACAAAAATCCCTGAAACTTTCCTTTCTTCATATCCTCTCTAGCTGTCACCATATCCCTCTCCTTTTCTTCACATTAAACTACTGTTAAGACTTTCCAGGTCCTCACCCTTAATTTACCATAATATTTTAAATATATTTATGTCAAGTGATACCATGTGCATGATTAGAAAGTAAAATATTATTGCAAATCACTTTGAAAGAAATATTAATCTTCTCATTTATAATTTCAGATCTATAATAATAATAATAATAGCAACAGCACCTTACTTTATGTTGGGTACTATGCTAAGTCTTTATAAGGACTAACCATATTTAATCCTCATAAAAACCTTATGTGGTAGACTCTGCTACTACTACCATTTTATAAATAAGACAACAAGGTTCATAAAGGTTAAGCAACCTGCCTAAGATCACCCAACTAGTGATGGGCAGAAGCTGGATTCAAATCTGTGGAGTCTAATATCATCATCTACATTTTCTCAACAAAGCCAAGCAATTTCAACTCTATTAGATATTTCAATGGGCATAAACTTTACATTTATAAATAGCATTCTTACGTTGCTACTTTTATTTTCTCTTTTTAATCTTAGATATCAATTGACATGCAAATTTGGCAACATTTTCCTATTATTTTTTCAAATATTTTTAGGCTAATTCCTTCTTCTATTTTAGGGATTCTAATTACTTGTGTATTAGGGTGCCTAAAGCTGTCCTATGGTTTAATGATGTTCTTTTTGTTTGTTTGTTTGGATTTTTTTTTTCCCTCGGTGTTTCACTGATATTTTTTCAAGTTCATTAACTTTTTCTTTTATAATGACTAATCTGCTTTTGACCCCCTCCAGTGTATTTTTCATCTCAAATATTGTAGTTTTAATCTCTAGAAGTTTGGGTCTTTCTAAAAATATCTTCTAAAATATCTACTTAGGATATGCAGCCTTTCCTCTAGTTTCTGAACATACAGAATAAAAATTTAATAACTATTTTAATGTTTTTGATTGCTAATTCTAACATCTGTGTCAGATCTGGGTCAGTTTCAATTGGTTGATTTTGTTTTCATGATGGGTTGTATTTTTTTATTCTTTGCATGTGGTATTTTTTTTATCAGATGCCAAATTTTGTGAATTTTATCTTGATGTTTTTTTTAATCAGATGCCAAACTTTGTGAATATTATCTTGTTGGCTTTTTTATTGTAAAGATTTGTAAACTTTGTTCTGAGACACAGTCAAATTACTTAAAAATAGCTTGATACTTTTCAGACTTGTTTTTAGGTTTGTTAGGAGAAGGGCTGGTGATATACTTACTTAGCAGTGGAATGCTTGCCTATCCTGTGCAAGGCCCTGTACCATCCCCAGCACTGCAAAGATTAGATGAGAGCAGAGAAGTGTCTAGTCTAGAATAGTTTTTCCTCACTACTGAGGTGAAATACTTATGAGTGCTTTATACAGTGTCTCATGAATCCATGATTTTCTGGAACCACTGTGGAAGCAGACAATATTGCCACTATTTCTGGCCCTATATTACCATCAGAGATTGTTCTCCCTAATCTTTTTAAGTGATTCTTTCACAGCACTGGTAATGTCTTCCCATGTATATGTTGATCAGTATTCTGTTGAATACTAGATGGAAACCCTCTGAAGATCTCTAGAATTTTCTTACTGTAGCTCTTTACTTTCTGGTTTTCTGCCTTGTGAACTCTACAAACTTATTTTCTCTCCATTCTTCACTCTGTCTCCTTAATTATGGGAAGTCAATCAGGCTGTGCCTGGATTTTCTCTTCCTCTACAAGTTTACATTCTTAATTTTTAATTTTTTGAAACAAAATTTCTCAGTGTTTCTTAAGAAATAAAAGCACATAAGAAGCAAAATTTTTGAGAACTTTGTCTCAAAAATATTTTAAATTAATTTTCATACTTCACAGATTATAAATAAATTTTGTTTATAATTCTGAAAGCATGACTCCATTGTGTTCTGACTTCCAGTGTTGTGTGGATAAGTTCACTGTCATTCTGATTCCTGGTCTTATGAATATGACATATTTTTAAATGTACAAGTTTCTTTGAAATTAGCATTATTAGACAAGTTATGATTGTATACATTAGTGGTGTACAATATGATGTGTTGATATATGTACATGATATGGAATATTAAATTGAACTGATTAATATATATTTCACCTCACTTATATTTTTGTGGTGAGACATTTGAAATTTGTTCTCTTAGCTGTTTTGAAATATACAATATATGATTATAGACTGCAGTAACTCTGCTATGCAACAGATCTTAAAAACTATTCTCCTGAGGAGGGAAGGGAAAGGAAATTCCTGGGGAATGAGATTGATCAAATTGTGTTATGTGCATGTATGAATATGACATAATAAATTCCCCTATTATGTATAACTATAATGCACCAATAAAAATAAAAATGATTGCTCCTGTCTAAGTGAAATATTGTACCCTGTAAGCAATAACTTCCAATTCTCTCCCTCCACCAGCCTCTGGTAAATATTGTTATATTCCCAACATATATGAATTGGACATTTTTAGATTTTACATATAAGTGAGATTATATGGTATTTGTCTTTCTCTCTCTGGCTTATTTTACTTAGCATATGGTCCTCTAGCTTTATTCATGCTGTCATGGATAAAGCTTTTAAGGCTAAATAATATTCCAGTGTGTGTGTGTGTGTGTGTGTGTGTGTGTGTGTGT